GGACCCCTTCATTCACATTGTTATGATTGTTTGTTTTGCATCTTCTGATGCCTGATATCTGATCCCATCAACACCTCATAATCGTCCTGTCCCACTACCATTCATCTTTTAGTCATGTGGAACACAAATCCTCTTTCTGTAGTATCATAGGAAAGCACTGGGACCAGAGAACCAAGGATTGAAAATGGGAGGGAATCAGATTTTACCTTAACAGGCTAAAGAACCTTAACATTGAGCGTTTTTCTTAACAAATGAAATGGATTGCTTATTTAGGAAGTTCATTTTTTTTTATCATTGCACTTTCAGGAGAGATTGAATGAGTGTCAAGAGTATTGTAAAGGGTTGTCTAAATTGGGTACATGGTTAGGTTTCAAGAATTTTAAGAAGTCACTCTTGTATAACAGAATTCATTTAGGCCTTCTTGAAATCTTTGGGAGCAGCTTCTTTATACCTACACCATACCTACTGCTGTTGGTCCTTATAGCTATACCATATACCCATTGCTGTTGGTCCTTATAGCTATACCATATACCCACTGCTGTTCGTCCTTATACCTATACCACACCCACTGCTGTTGGTCCTTATACCTATACCATACCCACTGCTGTTGGCCCACTCCAGCTCATAGCTTCCAACTCAAGTGGAAGTAGAACTGCCCCACAGGACTTCTGAAACTGAAAATCTGTAGGGAAGCAGATTGCATTTTTCTCCCACGGAACAACCAGTGGCTTTTTCCCCACCAACCTATTAGGTAGCATTCCAACATGTAATGCACTGCACCACCAGGATGCCATTTATGAATATATAGGCCCATCATGAAGTGTACACAATAGTCTTTATCTTGAAAAAAAAATTTTTAAAAAGACAACACAAACCCTCAACAACATCAGAGCTACTTGGCACATTTTTCTTAGCTCATGGGGATCTACATCATTCTTTTTGATGGTTGCAGACTGTCCTCAGGTGAGTGTACCTGTTGTAGCCAGTTTCATATCCATACGCACTCAGGATTCTGTCCCCCTTTTTCTTATTAAAAAAATGTTGCAATGGATATTCTTACAAATGGGCTTTTGTTTTATGTTTGGAAACCACCACTTAGCTTTCCACCTGGACTTTCTGTGTGGTTGCCTCCTTGCTGTTTTCTTTGACAGAACTACACTCAGCTGGGCTCGTAGAGCCACTGCCTCAGCTGCTCTCAGATCAGAATCCTTTATTAGGGCCAAGCCCTTCTCCAATAGGCAGTACTTGATGCCTCTCCAAAAGACCAAAGACTATGCTTTTTTCTTCTTTGTATTAAAAATTTTTTCCCCCTATATTGAATTTAACTTCAAGATTGGAATTTTAAAACCACCAGATGCTCCCAGGAAAAAGATGAGGCTGCCTGCTCCCGTAATGATTTACAGCTTGGAAATTGTATAGGGTTGCTGTGAGTTGTAATTGACTCAATGGTAATGGGTTTGGTTAAATTAAAAAAAAATTATATTGAACATACAGTATTTTAAAAACTGAACACTAGTGATGAGACCTGAACCAAGTAATTTGCCTTTAAGAAACATATTGTAATTTACCATTACTAATCAACCATCTAACTGGCTACTACTAGGCAACTAAAGGGCCATGGTGCCACTGGGTTAGAAGTTGGACTGCTAACCACAGGGTCAGTGGTTCAAACCCACCAGCCACTCCACAGGATGCGGTGAGTCCCAATGGACTTTATGGCAGTGTTTTTATTTGTTTCCTTTTTCTTGGACTGTTCAGAAGGAAAATTTTCATGACTCAAGTATTTGTAGGATATTTAACATTGTGGTTTGAGTCTAGTCCAGGAAGACCTCAAGGGTATATTTTGGTTTATTCCCATTACAACAAGTAGAAATGCCAAGGCTTTCAGAATATTCAGGCCTCAGAAGGCTGAATTGCTGTAGTACTTATCTATCTCATTTTTTTCTCCAATATTAATGTCAACTGACTCAGCCAACTCTTGCTGCTGGGTTTCTATGACATCATGCACCTAGTAGTTCCTGCCTTTATAAGCATAGTGGCTGCTTGGTTCCCTTCACTGCACTGTGGGCTCAGGAAGTTCACTGTGACCTGTCTGAGCCAAGTAGTAGTAAAGGGGAAAGGACCAAGTTCCTTTGCTATGGCTGGCTAGTGTCACAAACGGTTTTCTTCTTTATTTATAGCATATTACATTCTTCTTAGTTTCAGAAGGCGGGATTTCTGGAAGTTAGGCTCTTTAGGCCAATTTTGAATTTTTATCCTACTCTACTTATGCTGTGTATTTCAGACTTTGCTATGTGAGTTTGTTTAAAGTTTGGACTGTGTATCAGTAAATATTTGTTGAGAACCTTCTCTGTACCTGTTTATGATACACATCTGCATAACAGATAAGAGCCCATGGAATCTATATAGGTTTAAAAGTGTCTCCTTATACAAACTAGTTGTTGTTGAGTTGTTTCTGACTCATGGCAGTCCATGCATTCCGGAGTAGAACTGTGCTCCATGGCATTTTCAATGACTGTGATCTTTCAGAAGTAGGTTAGCAGGCCTTTCTTCCAAGTGCCTCTGGGTGGATTTGAACTACCTTTTGGTCAGTAATCAAGAGTTTAACTGTTTGTACTACCCAAAAGAACCCATAATCCATAAGGACTATTAGATTTGATTTGGGATTAACAGGATAAATTAAGCTTCCCCTGGAATGGGGAAATATGGAGCTTTTTAACCTTTAAAGCAAGCTTGTTTATTTACCTTCTATTAGACTATTTTTATTAAAGATCAGAGGAAATTTGCTACTTGCATATTAAAAAGTTGATCTGTGACACAATACATAAAGGTACACATCTTCAGTGTATGGATCACTGAAGGATCATAAAGTGAACACACTTATGTGACCACAACCGAGGTCAAGCTCACCTGATCCTTAATTAAAAAAAATAGCAACAGACTTAGAGGGAAAAAAACTATTTCTATAAACTGAAGTATTTATAGGGGAAGTGATATGCTGTCTGAGAATTGCTTTAAAATCGTTTGGTTAAAAACTTCTGTGTCATAGATTATGTGTAAACTAAACTCTGTTGGTAATGAGAAAACAGTTTCTGTATAACAGGTAATAGTATTGTATCAGTATTTGTAATTTTTAAAAAGAGAATTGATCTTAGCATTTGGTTAGAGTATCAAGCCACATCATGGTCATTAACATAATCTTTTTTACATATTAATCGTGTAGGCTTGATATTTATGCCGAAATGATTTCTCACCCTTAAGATTAACACTTGTGGCCATCATTTTATTCAAAGCAATATGGAGGACATATTTATGATGCTGACACCCAGCCCTGAGGTAGTGACATTATATACAGTACTTTTAAAAAGAAATATAATTTTTCTAAAGAGGAAAGTTATTAATGGATTCAGCAAGCATTTATCAACTTTCTATATGAGGGGTACCCCCCAAAAGCTGGAATTTTTTTCAAAGCTATATTTTTTTATAAAACAACCTTATCACCTTCAAAGTATTCTCTATTATACTTAATACATTTGTCAAATCTGCAATTCCATTCTTGGAAACATTTTTTAAACTCATCTGTTTGAATGACTGACAGCACCTCCCTTGTTTTTTTTCTTCACCTCTTCTACATGGTCAAATCACTGTCCTTTCATGTCCCTCCTCATTCTTGGAAAGAATAAGAAGTTGCACGGAGCAAGGTCACATGAGTCAGGTGTATGGGGCAGGAGAGGCATGCTGTTTTTTAGCCCAAAACTGGCACACTGATTGGTTGTGTGAGCAGGTGCATTGTCATGGTGGCAAAACCAGTCCCTGTCTGCCACAGATCAGGCCTTTTTTGTTGCCCCACTGTTAGTCTTTTCAGAACCTCTAAATAGAAAGCTTGATTAACAGTCTGACTTGGTGGAATGAACTCCAAATGCACTATCCCTCTCACATCAACAAAACAAATGAACATCTTCTTGATCTTTGATTTAACTTTATAAGCTTTTTTTGGGAGAGGTGATGATGATTTCTACTGGCCTGACTGATGTTGAGGTTTGCTTCTGGGGTTAGAAGACTAGCACCATGTCTTGGCACCAGTACTGACCCTGGAAAAAATGCCTGGGTCACTTTGGGGCTGTTCTTTCAAAGCACGGCATGTTTCCACTCCACGCTCTTTTTCCTGGTCATCAGAACCTGAGGCACAAACTTCACAGCGACCCTCCTCATTCCCAAATCTTTTGTTAAAATTCACTGAACTGAGCTCCAAGATAGTCAATAATTTCTCTCCACTTCAGTGGTTCGTTGTGGGTCTTAGAGCACAAGTGCTTGGATTTTGTCAACATTTTCATCCTTTCAGGAAGTTGATGGAGGTCCAGAACGAGATTTATTATCAATCAACTTTTACCTTTTTTTTCTTCTTCTGTGCCTGCTGGGCCCTCCCCCACTGGCAGGGATGGGCCACAAGAGTTCAACTTGAGAGAATGTAATGGCTTTCCAATCAGTGGTTAACTTTGAGGGTTGGGGCCCTGGGGTCTGGCTCTAGGACAGGCCCTGCTTTGAAGGGACAGGGCCTGAGGAAGGCCTGGGTACTGCCAGGCTAAGGCAATGTGGACCAGCTGGTGCTCCTGACAAGGGCCACCTCAGTGAGGACTCCTGAGGCTCCTGGGGTGAACAGCAGGGCTGCAGCTATCCACCTTTGTGGTTGTGTTCCAGATGGGGAAACTGAGGCTTGGAAGGGGGTGGGTGAGCATGCTGTGGGGTAGGTTTCCATTTTGACGACGGTGATGTTTAGTTGGGGGGTGGGGGTGGACTTCCTCTGATGCTTCATCCTGTGGGGGACTCTGTGCGCTGGCATCCAGGACTACACAGCCTGGGGGCCACGGGCTGGCATCCATCCACTTGGTACCGGGTCCATCCAACCCGGCTGTCTCACTGAGAGTCATCTACCCGTCTTCTATCTGGGGTCAGCCTTGCTCCACAGTCACGGCTGGCACCCAGTACTTCAAATGGGAGAGTTAAGTGCCCCAGCCGAGGGTACTGCCATTGATGTAGATGACCCGGAACTGGGAGGATATGAAGAGGAAGTTCACCAGGTGGGCAGGGGGCCAAGCGCACCAGTCGGCCTTGTAGAATTCCCAGAACTTGTCACGAAGCTCCTGGTGGCTCTCATCCAGCGTCTGGCCCTCCAGCCAGCCAAGACCCAGGAAGTACCACACACCTAACAAGGATGAGGCCACCCGCGGGCCCACGAGGACCTTTCTGAGGACGGTTGGAAGGCTGCGGAGGCCTGGGGCAGGGAGCAGTCGGTCCAGCCAGAGGTACGGGTAGTGCAGGAAGAGGCCCACACTGCAGCCCATGGCAAAAATGCTTGCAAAGCGCCACAGGTGGAACCTCTGGCCAGACCTGGAGCGGATTTCGCAGGACTGGCATGCGCTGTCCCCGGCTGCCATGAAAGTGCCTGCAGCCCAGCGTGTTAGTGACCAGCAGCGCTGGGTCCTGGAATAGCAGGCTTCTCCACTGCGCAGAGCCTGCGCACCCAGCGCCAGCCGCCGGATGCCATTGCCGCACCAGACACAAGAACCAGGGAGCCCACCTACGATATGCAGTGCAGACCCATCGCGAGTCACCTCATCGGAATCTCACCTATTTGAAACAAGAAAACCACTCACACACTTTAGTTTTTCCCATAGCGCAGTCCTTGTAAGCTGTGTTCAACATCAACAACAGTTTTGCCTCATTTTTCCAAGCAGGAAACAAAATTTCACAACTGCAGTCTGTTAAATCAGCCATCTCAAAAAACGAGGTTTGCGGAGAGCGTGGAGGGAGGGGAAAAAGGAGCTGATAGCAAGGGTTCAAGTAGAAAGCAAATGTTTTGAGAATGATGATGGCAACAAATGTACAAATGTGCTTGACACAATGGATGTATGTATAGATTGTGATAAGCGTTGTACGAATCCCCAATAAAATGATTTAAAAAAAAAAGAGGTTCCAGTGAAACTGCTTTTATGAAAAAAATTCACTGTGACCAGAAAGACCCTTCTCAAGTGATGCCACTGTGTGCACTAACTCAGTGAGTTGCGCAATGCTCGCTTAGCAGGAAAAATTTGTACTACGAAAGCTCCCTTTTCTGTTGTTGTTGTTTTTTTTTGGTACCCCCTCATATGCCAAACTCCCTTAGGTACATTGGGAGTATAGTGGTGACGAAGACAGCTGTGATTGCCACCTTCACAGAACTTGCCAGTAATTCAGGCTAATGAAACCAAGTTGAAAATATGGAAAAGTTCAAAAGCCAAAACAAAACCCAAAATTACATATAATCTCATGCCTCAATGTTACTATTGATCTTTTATTTTTAGTACTTTATATGATGGAGAATTAAAAACATACAAAAGAGTATAGAACAGATGACCTGCAAGCTCCTTTTGCTCCTTCGGCACTCATTAGCTAGTTTCTTCAATAACTTCTTCCAGCCTTCCCCATCCTGCAGTATTTTCAAGCAAACACGACCACAATATCACATTAAAAAATATTTAATTCCATAAAATATCAGTCCATGTTTGAATTTCCAATTGATTCATAGATGTCATAATTTTAAAATTATTTTTTTTTACAATTTGTTTGAATGAGGACCAAACTAAGGTCTCCATGCTTTGATTGTGTGGCACATCATTTTTTTCACTTCTAAGTTTTTTCCTTCTCAAATGTATACCAATCCAATAGTTTCTATGTTTAGTGACATTGATTACATTCTTTGAGTTGTGCAAACATTCTCATCCTCTTTTTCTGAATCATTCCTCCCCCATTAATATAAACTCACACTACCCCTAAGGTTCCTATCTAATCTTTCAAGTTGATGTTATAAATTTGATCCCACATACATAGTTCTTAAAAGAGCATAACTTGCAAGGCAGACTTTTTTTTTCAATTGTTTAAGCTAAATTATTCTTTGGTTTTAAGATGATATCAGGGAATATTTTTTTTGTTTGATTAAGGTTTAAAGATGATCTCAGGGGTTCACAGAAAGTCTAGAGCCCATGAGAATTTGAAATTCTGTTTTACATTTCCTTCCTTTTGCTCATTATTCTATGGAATCTTTTATTAAAGTGTTTAGTGATGGTAGCTGGGCACCATCTAGTTCTAGTCTGATGACCAAGGAGCAAGGAGACCATTGTACATGGATATATGGAGCCAATGCATCCTGATCGTAGTTTCACAAGCTGTGTGTGTGTGCATACCCTCAAGTTGATTCCAAATCATAGTGAGCTATCAGACAGTGGAGAACTGCCTGTGGTGGTTACATAATCTGTTGTCAATTTGAGAAGAGTGAAGGGGTAGAGTGTAGCCTGTCAATCAGGTCGCAGCTTGATGACCTCATTTGGAGGTACTAAAGAGATAAAGAGCTTGCTAAAGGCAGGACAAAAACTCACTCCCTGTGAGACATGCTGTTGAGAAGACACATGGAGAGAGGCTGATGCAGCCAAAGCCTGGAGCTGGAAGAGCCACATGGAGATCCACCCCAGTACTGAGATGCTTCTACTGCCACCGGATCCACACTTCCCACCCAATGGCCTGTGATCTTCCTGCATTTGGTGTCATTGCATGTGTTGCATGAGTCTGAAGAGGAATTTATAGATCAGTATTGGACATATGGGCCAATATTGGACTTATGAACTTGATCTGGACTGGGCTGGGATGTTTTCTCAATATTCAATTGCTCTTGTATGTAAAGCTCTTTCTTATACACATGTGAGTCTCCCTGGATTTGTTTATTTAATCTACCCAGACTAACTCACTGTCCTACAGTGTTTCAAAGCCGTAATCTTTATGGCCACCACTCATCTGTCAGTTTGTATGTTACCATGGTGCTGGGAGCACTGCCTTTTCTTGTTTTAATTGCCAACAGGGGCATTCATAGTCAATAGATTTCAGCAGAACTTCCAAACTAAGACAGACTGGGAAAAAGGACCCAGTGATCTTGCTGAAAAAATATGGCCAGTGAAAATCTCATGAATGGCAGCATCGCCTACTATCATTCCAGAAGATGAGCCCTTCAGGTCGAAAGGCACTTAAAATACGACTGGGAAACAGCTGTCTCAGAGATGAGTTAACGTGAATGACGTGGATGGAATGACTAAAGCTTTCAGGATCTTCATTTGCTGATGTGGCATGATTCAAAATGAGAAGACAACAGCTGCAAACACCTTTTAGTAAAAGGAACAGGGACTATGAAAGTATGAATTTAGAAAAACTGGAAGTCATTAAAAATGAAATGGACCATTTGAAGGTAGTACATAAATACCCTAGGCATTAGTGAGCTGAAATGGGTATCGACCATTTTGAAGCAGACAGTCATGATATACTATGCTAGGAATGACAAAGAAGAATGGTATAATATTCATTATTAAAAGGAACACTTCAAGCTCTATACTGCAGTACAATGTTGTCAGTGATAAACTAGCATCCATATGTCTACAATGAAGATTGGTTAATACAACTATTATTCAAAACTATACACCAACTAATTCCAAAGATGAAGAAATTGAGATTTTTCACAACTGCTACATTCTGAAGTTGATTAAAACATGTAATCTGATAAGTACTGGTGATTGCAATGGGAAAATTGGCAATGAAGGATTGGTAGTTGCAAAATATGGCCTTGGTAATAGAAATAATGCTGGTGATGACATGTTAGAATATTGCAAGACCAATGGTTTGTGCATTGTAAATATCCCCTTTCAATAACATTTTAAATGATGACCTTTATGGACCTTATAGGAATCAGATTGATTACATCTGTAGAAAGAGACAATAGAGAAGCTTAATATCAATCAGAACAAGACTAGGGGCTGATTGCTGAACAGACTATCAGTTGTTCCTATGCAAGTGGAAGCTGAAGAAAGTGAAATCCATGAGAGACAAATTATGATCTTGTGCATATCCCACCTGAATTCAGAGACCATCTTAAGAATAGATTTGATTCATTGAACACTAATGACAGAAGATGCTAGATATCATACATAAAGAAAGCAAAATGTCATTAAAAAGAAAGAAAAGTGTCAGAAGAGATCTAAAACTTACTTTTGAATGTGATGTGGGGAGAGTGAATGGAAGAAATGAAGTAAAAAATGTGAACAAAAAATTTCAAAGGGCAGCTTGAGAAGACTGAATAAAACATTATAATAAAATGTGCAAAGACTTGGAGTTAGAAACCCAACAGGGAAGAACGCAGTGTGCATATCTCAAGCTGAAAGAACTGATGAAGAAATTCAGGTCTTGAGCTGCAACATTGACTCTATAGACAAAATATTGAACCATGCAGGAATCATCAAAATATGAGATACAGGAATATACACTGTTAATGTACCTGAAGTATTGATCATTGTTCAACCATTTTAGGAGGTGTAGCATACGGTTAAAAAACAAACAAACTGATGGTTTGAAGGAAGAAGTTCAAGATGCACTGAAGGTACAGGTAGAAAAACAAAGCTCGAGGAATTGACAGAATTCCAATTGAGATGTTTCCATAAATGGATGCTGTGTTAGACCGGGTTGACTAGAGAAACAAATCCAGGTACACTCATATATATATAAGAGTTTTATATTAAAGAGTAATTGTATATTAAGAAAGTCCAGATCAAGTCTGTAAGTTCAATATTGGCCCATAAGCCCGATATTAGTTCATGAATTTCTCTTCAGACTCACGCAGCACATGCAATGATGTTGAATGCAGGAAGATCACAGACCGGTGGGTGGAAAGGCTTGTGCATCCAATGGCGGTGGAAGCATCTCCAGGGCTCTGGCTGCTGTCAGCATGGCTTCATGTGGCTTGTCAACAAGAATGTGTAGCAGAGAGAGCACGTGTGACCTAGCCTCCCGTGAGCTACCTCCCTTGAGCCTCCAAATAAGGTCATCAAGCTGTGACCTGATTGACAGGCTAAACACCACCCCTTCACTCTTAATACCCTCAAGTTGACAGGAGATTATGTAAGGACCACAGATGCAGTGCTGGAAGTGCTTACTTATTTATGCCTAGCTACCTGGCCACGGATTGGAAGAAACTCCTCTTTGTGCCAATTCCAAATAAAGGTGATTCAAAGCATGAAGAAATTTTTGAGCAATATTACTAATATCACATACAAGTAAAATTTTGCTGAAGAGAATGCAGAAATTGTCACAGCATCATGGAATTGCTAAAAATTCAAGCCAGATTAGAAGAGGATGTAGGGTGAGGGATATCATTGCTGGTGTCAGGTGGATGTTGGGTAAAAGCAGAGACTCCAGGAAGATGTTTACCTGTATTTTCTTGGCTGTGCAAAGGCCTTCACTAGTGCATCGAATTATGGATAACATTGAGAAGAATGGGGAATTCAGAACACTTGATATTACTTATTCAAATGGAACCAGTATATAGACCAAGTGACAGTTAAACAGAAAGGGGATACTGCTTAGT